TTGCCATCCTCCTCCCCACTCCAAATACTGTAGCCCATCACTAAGTTCTGGAACTCCATACTGTATCTCTAATAACTTCTGGAATTGAATCACAAAATCTGTCCAGACTTGCATACCACTGGGGGTACGTGTGGATTCTGGGGTTAATGACATCATGGATTAGAAGCTGGGATTTGGAGCCAACACAAGGCTGCTCTGCTTTCCTCTGAGGCTCTATTGCAAGACAGTAGAAAGCACTGGGACCGGTGCCAGGAGCTCGACTTGGCTCCCTCTCTAACACTGGACAACTCACTCAGTCCCTCAGGGCCCATTTCCTCATCAGCGAAAAGGCGATCATAATATCTGCCTACCTCCTAAGGCTGCTGTGAGAAACAGAAGCGCGAACGTGATTATGAAAGTGCAGGAAATGGTACCTGGTCCAGAACAAGAGACCTAGCTATTGGGATCATTGATTGGTCCTAAAATATGATGCCTGACATTGCTGGAGGAAATTCTCACATTGTTTCTGCGCATAGTTCTTGAAGGGCTTGATGTGTATTCGTTGAATCCTCACAAAAACCCTATAAGGTAGACACTGGCATGACGCCTTGTCTCAGATGAGAGAAATTCAGGCTCAGAGAGATTAAAAACCAGCACAAGACCAAGCACAGCTGGCCAGGGATGATGCCAGGAGTCACAGCCAGGATGGGCCATCCAGCCCAAGTCTCCATTCTTACTCAGCAGGCAGGACGCAGCCCAAGTTGCCTTGGTTCTGACTTGTTTTTCCATGCCTACTTTGTCCTGACAGTTCTCATCATGTTTTGTGTATCTGACGTTTACACTGCCACAGTGACATTTTCTGGTCCCTTTTACAAAATGCAAATGGTTCTCATCTGTGTTTACTGTCCTGGGTTTATTCCTCACACACAGGAGTTGCCCATCACATTGAGATTCCATCCAACTGAGGGTGGAAACTGGACACGCCAGCCACGCCACGACTGACTGGCTCACCTAAGACCAGCACTAAATCCAGCCGTGCAGGCACGAAATTGCCCTCAGGGAACAAAGCATGAGAAAGAGTGCCAGGCCCCCACCATGTGGGTAATTCTGTCTACACCTGGGGGAGGCTGTGTGCCCCACACATGTCCGCACAACAGATTTAAAAGCAATGAGATTGTGGTGGAAGTATGTGGCATTTTCATTGACTCTAGAATCACATAATCAACTACTTGCCCCAATTTTCCAGCTCACCAAGCCAGCCAAGAATGCTCTACCAGGCTCTGCTTCACAGGAGGATTTGTTTCTCTTGCAGGCGTTCACTTGCTCCTTCTTTCCAACATTCTCACAGCTGCAGGAAGTGGATTGCTCCCCCTAGAAAATAGCAGACTGGTTGTTAGAAAGTATCTGGAGGGTCCACAGTGTAGACGGCTCAGCACTGTGGTGAGAAACGTGCCTGCCTTGACTCTTGCCTGTGCCGTGTCCAATCCAAGTAAATCACGTAGATGACAGTGACACCTGCTTCATACTATGGTTGTGGGAATTAAGAGGGGTTGCCCATGCAAAGCCTCCTGCTCATGCGATATCAACGGTTGTTATTGTCTTCAAAGTTACAGAGGAAATACACAGTGTGATGCTGTATACGGAATTGCAGCCTGTCACCATGGGACCGTGCACATTCAATCTAAGGCATCTTCATTTTCCATGCAAGGAAAGAACTATTTTCAGTCAAATACCAGGGACAGTTTTCCTTGTGCGATGAAATGATAACCTCTCCATCACTGTAGATGTGATAAATTAACTTTTCCCAAAGACAGCTGTGCTTTGAAAAGCCATCTGCAAAAGAACTGCTATAGTCTACTGACTGACTGTTATTAGTTCAGCACATCTATGATCTACATCACATGTTCATAGTTAATAAAGAATTGGAAATGACTCCTTGTTAGTAAGCCCAGAATAATTTTGAATTGTTAAACACATCTTTACCTTATGCAGCAGAAGAGATTGGAGGCTTCTGTGCACCTTTAATCCCCAATGTTTTATATAGGTCTACACCTGAAAGGATTAGCATTTTATGAACAAAAGCCAGCCAGTGGAAGCCCAAGTTATTTAGGGTAGCATTATCTACCAGTCCTCATAGACACATTACTTTGCTAGAATTCTCTTTCTCTCTCTCTCTCTGTCTCTCTCTCACACACACACAGACAGACACACACACACACACACACACACAGTCCTAGCAACATTAAATGGAATTCCCTTCAAAAGTTTCAGGAATATCACTGCAACAGAACAGAGGCTACCCCCGTGGCATCCAGTTGCTGCGATGTGGTTGGAAACGTTAGACTTCCAGTTCACTTTTCAAAGAAGTGGGTGTGGGACAGTTGCACAGACCTGCAAATTTTATGCTCATTTGCCAAACTCCAGTAGCCACAGGGAGGATATGCCCACCCAGGCTCTGCCTAGGACCCATGTCCAGGCAGCCAGAAAGAACTCACGGATCTACCAAGAGGAAGGGAATGCTTTTGGGAGGAAGAAAGGAGAACATCTATCCATGAGAAAGGACAGGAGTCAAAGGCTTAACGCTGAATTCGGGGGATTTAGAAGGAGCAGAGGGAAGAGGAAATCAGAAAACCTCTTCCAAGAAAAAGTAAGCCATTGTGATTTATGTAATTGAAATAAGGGACAGTCGAAAGGGAAGGAGGAGAATCATGTGCTCATTTGTGAAGCTCAGAAACCCTTAAAATAGAATATAGGTCATGTAAAGTAAAGCCTCAGACAAATGGGAATTAAAGAATCATTTGTGATAGGCTACATTCAACCAGGGAGCTGGATGAATGGTGTTTTAACTTGAGTAGATATAAAAGCCCTTTTTTTGTTTTTGTACCCACCCTTGGTACTCGTTTCTCTGGTGTCACTATTTTGTGTTCTTTATGTCAGTTTCTTTTCACTCAGGATGTTCATCTAGAAGTGCTGTGGTCCCATATAAATCACCTTTCCTACTTTCTTAAATGACGGGGGATGACCCGGCCTTTGTTCTAGCTCTATCGTTCTAATGCTTTCTTATTCTATGATCACATTCTGCATCGCTGCGACTTATTTGCATCTCTGTGACTTATTTCTTCCAGGTGTCATCAGTCCCTATGAGAAATAGCAAAATGATGGCCATCAGTACAATTTTACAAAAATCTTTTAAAAACTGATGGCAATGTACGTGAATGTGTGTGTGTATATTTATATACATATATACACACACATAGACATACATATGCATTCATTCTACAAGCTTTAAAATGAAGCAAAGGACAAAGGAAAAAATGTTGATCTCCTTTGATTCTACTATCTAGAGAAGGAAACCTCACAAACATTGTTTTTGTATCAACTTCTAGGCTTTTTGTTTTGCATAAACTTTTTAAAAGCTATTTTACTGAAAGTGTGACTTGATAGAAACATGTACCTCTTTAACCTAGCATCTTATTTTTAGGATGAGTTCTTGTCCTTTTCAGGGACATGGATGAAGCTGGAAACCATCATTCTCAGCAGACTAATACAGGAACAGAAAACCAAACATCGCATGTTCTCACTCATAAGTGGGAGTTGAACAATAAGAACATAAGGACACAGGGAGGGACATATTACACACCAGGGTCTGTTGGGGGGTGGGGGACTAGAGGAGGGATAGCATTAGGAGAAATACCTAATGTAGATGACTGGTTGATGGGTGCAGCAAATCACCATGGCACGTGTATACCCATGTAACAAACCTGCACATTGTGCACATGTACCCCAGAACTTAAAGTATAATAAAAATAAATAAATAAATAATTTTTAAAAAGAGTTCCTTTTTGATACTTTCTTCAAAGCCATCTTTTAGATAGCTGCTTTAAGATACAAATCAGAGCTCTATTGCCTGGAGCTAGACCTCGGTAGATCAAAGGCTCTTAAATGCTGGACTTAACTGTAGGCAGACTATGCCCAAATCCCTCGGAAGCTTTAACATGCATGAACTCTAGGCTCTGGCAATTCTTGTTTGCAGGTTTGAGGAGGAACCAAGAAATTTGAATTCCCTGTCTGAGAATTCCCTGACATAGGGTAGCACCTGGCACATAGTAGGTGTTGTAGTTGCTGAATTTGTTATTGAGTGAACCTCTGAGTGCCCAAGCAGCCACGGGGATGCTCCAAAGGTTCAGGGAGGGATTGGTGGGAGGCAGGACAGGGAGGGGACAGGGCAGGGACACACAAGTTGTTTTCAAATAGTTGAAGTGCAGCCCATGAAAAGGATTAGAACTCCTGCATGGCTTCAGAGGGCACGCTGATGAAGTCAGTTACCGGGAAGCAGATTTGGGCTCAACAGGAAAGAACTTTCTAACAAGTACAGCAATGGAACAATTGATCCCAAGAAGCCTACATAATGGAAAGTGGGCCAGATTTGGAGTCAGAAGATACAAGATTGGATCAAAGTCTCCATAAGGAGGCTGTCCGTGTGCTGTCACTCGCCTGTCTCCGTCAGGATGAGCACTGCCCTTTTTCCTACGGAATCTGGCTCTCCTGGGCTGTGGTTCTCAAGGGGGAACCCTCCCCTCCCGCCAAGGGGACATTCAGCAATTTTGGGGAGACATTTTTAGTTACACAATAAGGGGTGGGATGCTCCTGGCATCTAGTGCATAGAGGATGCTTCAAAAACTCCTACAATGCACAGGTCAGCCCTGCACAACAAAGAATTACCCAGCTCAGAATGTCTACAGTGCAAAGGTCAAGCCACCCTGGGCCAGGAAAAGGATCCGCATTGCCATGAAGGGTAAACCCCAATTGCCATCTTAGGTGTCTACTGACTGAGTGATGTCAGGTGAGTTGTTCTCGCCTCTCCTGTGTCTCAGTGTTCTCATCCATATGGTGGAGGTGGATTCGCATTGATAGAGGGATTAACACAGGACCAACCCTGAGCTGCATCTTCCAAGCAACCCAGAAGCCCCCATCTTACTTAGTTTGGTTTCTCGAAGAAGCAGACACAAAGGCAGGGATTTGAGTGAAAGCATTTTATTTGGAGAGCATGAATAACACAACAAGGAAAGTGGACACAACCCAGGGAAAGGGTGACATCCTGCCACATGTGTGTCACAAGACCAGCGACAGGAGCAGGTGACCAGAGCTTAGCCCCATGGGCAGACACTGGGAAAGGAGGCAAAACACACGCTTTGGAATTATTCCACCCCAGCTTCAGAGAGCTCCGGTGGTATTTTTCCACCAGGACCTCAGCTACACGTGCAGAGCAGCAGCCGGGGCACTCCAACACGTCTGAGAGATGTGAGCGAGGCCAGGACAGCATCTGCTACAGCTTCATAAGATGCCGTCATTCCTTTCCAGAATCATCAGGAGAAAGTGAAATTTTATACATCTGAAAGAGTCTGGCACAGTGCCAGGTGCTTAGAAGGTCCTCAATAAATAAATGTCTCATATTATCTTGTACGTTGTTCAAGCAGAGGGTTGAGTCCACAGGGTACTTTGGAAGGGTTCTGGGTCACTCACCTAATCATATGGAAAGTTGAGCATCTGAAACCGTCCCAATAAACTTCATTAAAGTAATCAGGGAAGAAGGGAGGGAGAGAAATGAGACTGAAACAAGCTTGCAACACACCCAGCATTGATCGTGAGGGCAGCCTGTTCTCTGACGTATTTCCTTGTTGTTGTTTGTCTCTTGTCCTAGAATCACATAGACCCTGTTACAAGATTATAGATCCCCTTATCTGCTCTAGAGTTAACAACTGGAACCTTATGAAATGTTGTTTTCCTTTGAGATATTCTTTCACATTCTGCATGCCACTAAAACCACCAGCATCAGCAGGTCTGAAGGACCCCACAAGAAACTGACTCACCAAAGCACACAGGCTCCACATCCTGATGATTTCATCCTCCTCGCCCTGACCAATCAATGACCCCAATTTTCCAGCCCCCTCACCTTCCAAGATCCCCTTTAAAACCCCAACTCAGAACTCTCAGGGAGATGGATTTTAGGGTCTCCTCCCATCTCCTTGCTAGGAGCCCTGCAATCATTACACTTTCTCTGCTGCCTCCTGGCTGTCTCAGTGCATTGGCCTGTTACTACACAGTGGAATATGAACCTGTTGGTCCCATAACACATCCGGCCTTGAGATACAAAGGGTACAGGGCTGCTCTGGTTTCAGAGATCTCAGCAGCAGGAGTTCACAGACCTTGTCTTTAAACATTGCCATTGAAGGCCACAACTGCAGTCACCATCCATCACTGTGTATCTATGGTCAAGATTCAATGTCTAGGGAAAAAGATTCCGAGTGCTCTAACTTAGTCCTAAGTTCACCCCTATAGTCAGCACTGGGTTGTGTGGGAAGCCTTGCACCAAATCACAAAGAGCAGGCTGGCAGCTCAAAAAAGGGATGCAGGGTCATAACTCATAAAAGGCAAGGGTTATAATAGCCCTCCTACCCTTCTTCTCACCTGGTGCATACATACTTCCTTATTTCCATAAATACAACTTCACAATGGAGACCCACCCTTTCTACAGTGGAAAATAACCTGAAGTCTCCTCCAGCTATTGCAACTAAAAGCAATGGAGTTGCACTTCCCCAAGTCCAAACCTCTAGATGATGTCCATTTCTCCCCTGGCTCCATTGCTTCTTCCATAACAGGCACGTGATCCCAGGGGACCACTGACAATAACGTGATTGGCTGTTTCACCACAGCTTGCCATGGGCTGCTATTCTTGTTCCCATCCCAGAATATCAATAGGAGGCTCATTGATTTCCACATTGATCTTTCCTAAAAGGTCCACAAAGGAAGAGATACTGATCAGACAAATGCAAGACATATTCACCATGCCTGCTTATAAGGGAGACTCAATGGGAATTCCCTCCCAGAGAAGTGAGGGTTTCATTGGAGACACAGACGTTCTTCAAGAACCCTGGGAACCACTGACACTCGATGTGTGTGATTTTCAGTGTGTGATGGAGAAAAGGTCATAGTGAAATCAGGCAATTTCATAACTTCCGGTCCCTCAATTAGCTGGTAACACAGTGACCCAAAGCTCAGAACCCTATCTGTCGAACAGTCCAGGGCTGCTGCAATGTCCCCTGACCCAGCCTTGCACTGGCTAGACTTCTGGGGGAGTCCCCTGAAAGCAGCCGCTGAGACTGCCAGCTGCTTCTATATGGGATGCAACGATTGAGGCCACTTAGAACACCTGTGCCTTGGGATCTTCAGATGGGATTCTTCCTGCCTTGGATTTGGCTCTGGTAACAATTAAATCCCGTATCCACTCAGGTACAGTGTCAAATCTCCACCTGCAGAGAAACGAATTTTGTAAACTAAAATTTGTCAGACTTATGAACATGGAAAATTTTACTTCCGTTTCGTCTTAGATGACCAACATTACCAGTGAAGAAGAGAATAAAGCACAGGAGTAAAATAATCCAATAGGTTTGGAAACCGCAGTGAAGTTATAGTCTTTTCATTTTAAAAATAGCACATGACTGTCCCTAAGCATTCAAGCCCCACGCTTCACTGCAGGGGACGGCCTGGCTGTCCATAAATCACCTGCCTTGTAAAGTGGCTCTGATCGAAGGCCAGTGTGTTGCCTTGATAAACTTATATGCACTTTGGAGAATAGACACACTTAGTTGTTCACTTCTATTTTTTATTTTCTTTCCCCAATCCAGTCCTTAAAACAGATTTCCCCTCCAAGAAATTTTATTGTAATTTTAGAAAAATCTCCAACTGCAACCACGTGTAAATCACAACTGGTAACTGCCAGGTTTCATGTTATCAAAATAGCCAAGAATGCTTTGCAGCTGAGCTATAAGCATGTGATATTAATTACATGGAGGAACGCCGTGCTTGGGAAACAAGTTTGGATGAGAAAGTCTGACACTGAAAATGTGCTTGAAATAAGGGATACTCTGGTAATGACATTGATTCTATTTTCCACTTTAATAAATGATACCTTTCGGCAGCTCACTTTCATCCTCAGATAAATGAAGTGAAATAAATGTATCAGTGTGGAAACACCATCTCTTCACAGTGATTCAACTTTGAAGCTGAGGAGGGGCAAGGATGCCTCGGTTCCTGTTTTACTGTGAGGCCTGGGAAGCAGCGGGAGAAACTGCCCCATGACTTTGACAGCCTACGACTCCCAGCCAGGAGCAGATGCTTCCAACGCTGTCCGTTTTTTCCATAGTGCTGTCTGCTGCTTGGACATGACACTTTTGAGAGGGGACTTAGTTGTCACTAATCATGCTCCGATTTTAGCAACAGCAGTTGACCACTGTTCAGAAAGATCATTTTTTCCCAACAGATTTCTATTAGGAAAGAATGTGTTTACCTGGTGGAACTATTCTGGGATGTGCCACAACGCGGAATTCCTTTCATTCCTTCCCCTGTTCTAGGGGAAGGAACGGACTCAGTTGGAGAGACATATTCTCCCATGAGGCCATGCTGTCAAAGTTTGGGGGGAAATAGGGTGAATTATTTAAATATCCATCCAGGTGAGAAGCAACAGAGAGCCTGTTCCTTGGAAGCTGAGCCCTCCCCCTTTCCAAATGAGTGGCCTAGATGTGCCTCTTCAGCTCTGTGGTTCTGTTTCCTTTGTCTCTGAGAGACATAGCACCTTTCTCATACCAACTCCACCAGGTTCTAGAAGGAAAAGCCTCTGGGAACTTCTCCAATCTGCTTCGCCCCCATTCTCTAGTAAAAAGCAAAGTCTTTGGATGGAGAAATAATGAAGCCATTCAAGGAAGCTGCCTCCAGAGCTGCACCTTCTCGTGGACAACCACTGCCCCTTGCGTGCAGATCTTATAGGACCAAGACAAACGTTTAGGGGACAAACCACTGAGATGCTGGGGGTTTGTTATCACACATACTTCTAGTCTAGCCTGATAGTGTGGATGTGTGTGTGTGTGTGTGTGTGTGTGTGTGTGTGTGGCTGTGTGCATACTCTTGTCAAATGATTATTCTATAAGCATGAAGAAAAGTACAGGGCACATCCTGTGATATTAGTGGGAGGTAAGAAAGAGGGAATTTATGTGTAATTTCTCCCTTTAACAGACTAAAGAAGAAAAACTATATGATCATCTTGAAAGATATATAAACAAGGTTTGGTACAAGTCAACATCATTCATGGTCTTTTAAAACCAACATAAATATTAGGGGACTTTGGCAGGGCCCGGTGGCTCATGCCTATAATCCCAGCACTTTGGGAGTCTGAGGCGGGCAGATCACTTGAGGTCAGGAGTTTGAGACCAGCCTAAACAACATGGTGAAATCTCATCTCTACTAACAATACAAAAATTAGTCTGGTGTGGTGGTGGCTGCCTGTAGTCCCAGCTCCTCTGGAGGTTGAGACCGGAGAATTGCTTGAACCTGGGAGGTGGAGGTGGTAGTGAGCTGAGATTGTGCCCTTGCACTTCAGTCTAGGTGACAGAGCAAAACTCTGTCTCAAAAAAAAATGTGTATATATATATGTGTGTGTGTGTGTGTATGTGTGTGTGTATATATATATATAGACTTCATAAACATGACAACACGTGTCCACTGAAAGCCCACATTAAATATATTCATTATTTATACATAATACACACATTAAATGGAGGAAAATTACAAAGACAGGAAAAAGGCAACGATATCCACTGTCACTGTTCCTGTTTAGCATTGTGCAGAAGTCTGGACAGTATGATAAAAGCAAGGAAATGGAATAAGAGCTGTAACAATAGGAAAGGAATCAATGAAAATTTCATGTTTGTAGACGACATGATTTTCTATCTAGAATATGCAATAAGTTCTATAGACAAACTATTTGGAACTAATGAAGGAGTTTATCAACTGAGTATAAGATCGTGTACAAAAACAGCATTATTTATTTATTTATTATTTTTTTGAGATGGCTAGAGTGCAATGGTGCAACCTCCGCTCACTGCAGCAACCTCTGCTTCCTGGGTTCAAGTGATTCTCCTGCCTCAGCCTCCCAAGTAGCTGGGATTACAGGCGTGCGCCACCATGCCCGGTTAATTTTTGTATTTTTAGTAGAGAGGGGTTTTCACCATGTTGGCCAGCCTGGTCTCAAACTCCTGACCTCAGGTGATCCGCCTGCCTCGGCCTCCCAAAGTGCTGGGATTACAGCCGTGAGCCACCGCAACCAACCCCAGAAACAGCATTCTTATATGCCAACAACAGAAATTTAGAAGGGGTACTTTTAAAATATGCCATTTGCTATATAACAGAAATTCTAAAGTACCATGGAATAAAATATATTGAAAGATGTTACATGAAATTGTCTTTTTCTCAAGATCTTTCCCTGTAATTGATGGAGAGACAGCTTCAGATAAATATTCTTGTTACAGTGGGATAGAGGTAACATGAGCTGTCATAAACTACCTGGTTATGACAGTTACCAAATGACACTTTTCTTTCTATAGCTGATGACTAGATCTTCAGCAAAATAAATCAGAAGCTTTTAGAGCTTCACATGCTGCCCTTCTCCTTTCCCCTCCCCGCCCTCTTCTTCTCCTTCCTCTCCTTTCCTAGAGCTTAGTCAATGGGCAGCTGGAACTTCTAGCCCTGAGGGTTCTAGGTGCCCCATAGCCAGGCCTGTAGGCCAGAAAACATCAAATCGCTTGGTGCTGCCACAGTTAATTCATTGGGGTTCTTTTTCTCTCTCTGTCTCCAGCTCTGTTTGCTTTTTGTTGTCTTTAATTACTCAGTTAAAGTTAACTGCAAGTTTCATTTAGTTTTGTCAAAATAAATGGAAAGAAAACCCTGAAGCAGGAGATGAATGTAAACTGGGAAAATCTTGCAAAATCACAAAGATAGTTCTTGGCGCTTCCGTTAAAGAAAACATTATTCAGGGATGCTCGTTACAGCACAGTAAAGCAGATGTTATTCAGGACCATCAGGGTTGGTGGAGGAACTACAGCCGTGAGATTTTGTGATGGGGGAGATGGGACTTGTGAAAATAAGTAACTTAAAATCTAAGCTTTTGGAACTTTAAATTATTTTGACCCTTAAAGGAATGTGATTATGGGACCTGAGTCAGGCGAGCAGGCAAACACAACCCAGGCAATTGGAACCTGTGTTTCTCTGATTAGAGATTAGCCTTCTTCCTTTCCTATCTTGTTATATTAAGTGTAAATGACTTAAGGGCCCCGAGGAAGACCTCTTCCCTATTCACTGTGGATCTTCATTGTAGATAAACTTTCTCCCTACCTTTCTCACACAAAGGCTTTATGGCTATCACATAATATTGTCTAAAGATGCAATATTAAATATACTGTTTTAAATTGGGAAGAAAATGCAAACAAACAGAAAACAAACTATCACTATTTAAAGTCTTGTAACTCATAAACCAACCTTGTATAGAAAACATTATAATCGAACTAAACTTCTCTGTTTTCTGCCTATATAAGCAAAAGCTTAATTTTTAACGTCAGAGCACCCACCTCATTTCTCTGGCATCTGTGTTTCCTGGAAGGATATTCTATATTCTCAGCTTCTCAAAGCCTAAATAACCTCTTTCAAACTGGGTTCTAATTCTTCTGATTATTTCAAGTTGACAGGGTCAAGTTCTACCACAGCAGGGTCAAGTAAGAACTTACAGTCAAGGAGCAAGGAGGGTTCAGTGGATAGAAAATTACTATGAGGTAACATCCGGGTAAGGAGGATTCTGGCTAAATCGACCTAACAGGATTCTTGCTGAAGACAGATCGGGGTATGAGACGTCACCTAGGGGATGGTGGAGGATGAGGAACCTTACCTTGAAGATGAGGAAGATGGAAGATGATCAGATATCAAAGGTTTTGGCCAAACTGACTTAGCAGGGTTCTTGCTAAAACTAGATTTCACAAGGAAGTGCACAGATAGACCAAGAAGTGGCATGAGGAACCTGGGTCATGTGAGAATTTTTGTGCCTTCCAGAGACAGATGGCACTGAAATAGATACACTTCTCTCTGAGACGGAGAAAGTTAACCTTCTAAAACCTCTGGAATGAAAGATGACATTTACAGGTTATCTCTTAGATTTCAAATGCTACTGTCAACTGTAATACAAAAAAAATGGCCTCTCTCTCTCTCTCTTTCTAACAGGTTGGGGTCTTCCTTGCTCTGTTGCCCAGCCTGGTTTGTAGTGGTGCAATCATGGCTCATTGAGGCCTTGATCTCCTGTGCTGAAATGATCCTTCCACCTCAGCCTCCCAAGTCTTTGGGATTATAGATGTGAGCTACTGCACCTGACTAAAATTGGTATCTTTATTACATTTTTCTTTCTTTCTTTTGTTTTTTAAAGAAAGATGGTCTCTTTTTAATTGGTATAATGAATACAACCCACTGGCCAAAGAAGAAAGAAATAAAAGCATGTGGATATATATGTGCATGTGGGGTGTGTGTGTGTGTGTGTGTACTGTCAAGAGACTAGTAATGTCACCTGATAGGTGTACAGCTGCTTTTCAGTTTCAAAATCCCATCTGTAAACACCATGTCATTTGATGCTCATGGCAATTGTGTAGGATCCACAGAAATGGCATAATCCAACTGGGGCACAGAAAGAGGAGGAGAGGTCCCTATTAGTCATCAAGGGCAGTGAGAAAGAAAATAATGAGTCAAATAAAAACAAACCAGACATAAAAGAAAACATTGATATCCTGGACTTCATTAAAGTTTAAACTTCCGCTCTGCAAGACACCACCAAGAGAATAAAAGACATCACAGACTGGGAGAATATATTTGCAAAAGACATATCTGATGAAGGATTTTTATCCAAAATATGCAAAAAAAACTCTTAAAACTCAATGATAAGCAAATGAATAACTCAATCAAAAATGGACAAAAGATCTGAACAGAAACCTCTCCAAACAAGATACACAGATGGCAAATAAGCAGATGAAAAGATGCTCAACATCGCATGTCATCAGGAAAATGCAAATTAAAACAAGATCCCACTCTATACCTATTAGAATGGCCAAAAGTCAGAACACTGACAATACCAAATGCTGGTGAGCATACAAAGCAATAGGAAGTCTCTTTCATTGCTGGTGAGAATGCAAAAATGGTACAGCAACTTTGGAAGATAGTTTGGTGATTTTCTTTCTTTCTTTTTTTTTTTTTTTTTTTTTTGAGATGGAGTTTCACTCTTGTTGTCCAGGCTGCAGTGGAATGGCCCGATCTTGACTCACTGCAACCTCCACCTCCCCGGTTCAAATGATTCTCCTGTCTTAGCCTCCTGAGTAGCTGAGATTACAGGCGCCCACCACTACACCTGGCTAATTTTTGGTATTTTTAGTAGAGACGGGGTTTCACCATGTTGGCCAGGAGGGTCTCGATCTTCTGACCTCATGATCCGCCCCCCTCAGTCTCAAAAAGTGCTGGGATTACAGGCCACCACACCCGGCCCAGCTTGGTTTCTTACCAAACTAAATAAACGTACTCTTATTGTACAATCCAGCAAACAAGGTTTTTGGTATTTACCTAAATGAGCTGAAAACTTATGGAACCCTAAGTTTATGTCCACAAAAACCCTGTGCATGAAGGTTTATAACAACTTTATTTGTGAATTTTATTTTTTTGTTTTACTTTAAGTTCCAGGTTACACGTGCAGAAGGTGCATGTTTGTTACATAGGTATACATGTACCATGGTGGTTTGCTGTGCCTATCAACCAGTCATCTGGGTTTTAAACCCCACATGCATTAGATATTTGTCCTAATGCTATCCCTCCCCTAACCCCCAGCCCCCGACAGGCCCTGATGTGTGATGTTCCCCTTCCCGTGTCCATATGTTCTCATTGTTCAACTTCCACTTATGAGTGAGAACAGGCGGCATTTGGTTTTCTGTTCCTGTGTTAGTTTGCTGAGAATTATGGTTTCCAGCTTCATCCGTGTTCCCTGAAAATAACATGATCTCATTCCTTGTATGGCTGCATAGTATTCCACGGTGCATATGTGCCACGTTTTCTTTATCCAGTCTATCACTGATGGGCATTTGGGTTGGTTCCAAAGCAACTTTATTTGTAACTGCCAAAAATTCGAAGAAACCCTGATGTCCTTCAATAGGTGAATGGATAAGTAAACTGTAGAACATCCAGGCAATGGATTATTATTCAGCACTAAAAAGAAATGATCAAGCCATGGAAAGACATGGAGGAATCTTCAATACATATTACTAAGTGAAAAAAGCTAGTCTGGAAAGGCTGCATGCTGTATGATTCCCACCATATGGCATTCTGGGAAATGCAAACCAATGGCGACAGTAAAAGGATCAGTGGTTTCCAGGAGGTGGGGTTGCGGGGGATGGATAGGTAGAACCCAGAGGACTTTGAGGGTGGTGGAACTACTCTATATGAGAGGATAATGGTGAGTACATGTCATATATTTGTCTTAATGTACATTAAGAGTGAACCCTAATGTAAACTATAGACTTTGGGTGGTAAAGTATCAATGTAGGTTGATCAATTGTGACAAATGTACAGTCTGGTGTGAGATACTGATAGTGGGGGAGGCTGGGGAGAGGTGAGTGGCATGTGGGGTGTATGGGAATTCTATGTGTTTTCTGCTCAATTGTGCTGTGAGCCTAAAAATACTCTAAAAACGTCCTTTAAATAACTGCACACATAATAAAAGTAAATAGCAACGATATTCTTCAAGATTTAACGTTTTAGTTAAGAGACTTTCTTTGCAATAATAGATTAGCTCCTGTTTTAGTTCTCCCAGAACAAAAGTCCACAAGTTAATATTTTACTAATCCTTTCTCACAATGTTAATAGAAAACCCTAAGTGGAAATCAGAATTCAATCGTCAAGTCTGTGCAAGTTGAAACCCTGAATTGCAGGGTAGCTTAAGTGCTTTACACACATTAAAGATCAGCTGATTTAGTTACTAGTCTTGGATCTCTTCCCAGCACAGCAATAACGATGGCATTATTAGTGGCTCCAATATGGGATCGTCTTGTCATTCCAGACGTATGAATCACTCTAGGTATTTGAATAACAACACAGGAATTACTCCTAAAAGAAAGAATTACAGCATGCCTTAATACAGAGACAATAAAGTCAGAAATACTCAGTTACCCATGCATCGAAAACCTCAAGTTTATGTTGTGGTATCTCTTTAAGAAGCCCAGGATGAATAGGAGAGCAAGGAAATGTCACACTGCTCTCACTTTACAGAAGATGAATGTGATAAAACGCTCATCTCATGAAAGCTGTCTATGTCACCTGTCCCAGAATGTGTTGATTCTAGTCTGAAATGCATGCCACGTTATCCCGACCACTTAAAACCATCAACATTAGCAGATAGCCAAGAAACTGACTGAAGCCCAAATATAGCCTCTCTTTTTTTAGCTTTTCTGGCACAATAGGAGCTGTAGGTTCATAGATCATTTCTAAAAACTTCGACTCCATCAAACTTATTAATGATTTTATTTAAAAGATAGCTCATGTCTACAGACATTCTTTATTTAGAGTGTAACCTTTTCCATTCTCTTGGTTTAATTATTTCATGAGTGACAAACTGGGCTAGACATTTTTCTTCCCAAACATTTAATTCATTCTCTGAAAAATGTTTCCTGCCTCTCTTTACCTGGATAATTCTTACTGTTTCCTGCATCACAACGAGGCATCACCTGCATCAAGTCCACTTTAATTACCTGAGAGTCTGCCTCTGCCTCCTACCCACTGGACTGTAAGGAACATGAGGGTTGAGACCTTGTACCCGGTCTGGTTACTGGCATGGAAAAAATGCTCATTAAAAGTTTAAAGAATAAATGAATGTACGAATGAAAACTGGGAACAACTTCTTTTTATTTCTTCAACAGAAATTAGGTCACACAATTTGTAAAAATTATGCAAGTCAAGTAGTGAGATGCTTAAGACTCTTATACTCTCTACTTTAGAGAGATTGAACTACTATACACCGATCACTTTTTCTCACCAAGATTTTTCTTTACTAAATTTAAAACATATAGAAAGTTATAAAATGAATGTAAGAAATACCAAAATTCCCACCACATAGAATGTTAACTTAATGTTTTCTCCTATTAGCTTCCAGTTATCTTTTAAAGATACAGATACAAGTAGAGGTCCCTTACAACAGATGCACTGTGTCAATCATGCACTCACCACCTTTCAGCTCCAAATTCACCCTTTTTGCCCGCTCTATGCAAATGGATGCGGGCCCTTTCAATACTCTGCCAGCTGGAACAATGCTAAACTTTGTTGGTAGACTAGACAGAAGGAGAGGATTGTGCCCCTTGGTTCAGGTGTGCTCCTGTAGACTGGCGGCTTCCCCGGTGTGCAGCTCCTTTAGAGCCATGGTTTCCCCAGGACCCAGCTCCTGCAGAGCTCATCACCTCTCTAGTTCTCAGTCTCTGCAAGGCATGGCAGCCAGCAGCACCCAGCAGCAGCAACTCACCTCCCTACTGGCACCCTTGAGTAGTTTTGTAGCTCAGCCCTTTCCTACAAACAGCTTTCCCAGAACCCTCTGGGGCAGATTTCTGACCAATGTGACTAGCAGCAGCACCACAGCAACTTCTCTGCAAACCAGTGAGCCATGGCCACGCCCTCTCAACAGGCTCTGGATCT